TACCTTGTGTGTGTTCATATTATCCTCTGTGTGTTCATATAACCTTGTGTCATTTTTATCCTGTGTGTGTTCATTTTACCATGTACATGTATGTGTTATAATTGTGTTTCATATTATCCCATGTGTGTTCATATTATCCTCTGTGTGTTCATATTGTACTGTGTATTCATTTCACCATGCATGTGTTCATATTATTGTGTGTACTCATATTATTACCCTGTATGTGTTTATTCTACTTTGTATATTTTCATATCATCCTGTGTGTGTTCACTTTACCTTGTACGTGTTCATATTACCCTGTGTTTATTTCACCTTCTATGTGTTCATACCCGGTATTATCCTGTGTTCATTTCACCTTGTGTGTTTATATTATTGTGTGTGTTCACATTACCCTCTGCGTGTTCATTTTACCATATATGTGTACATATTACCCTCTGTGTATTCATTTTACCATATATGTGTTCATTTTACTGTGTATATGTTCATTTTACCCTGTGTGTTAATTTTTATACCGCGTGTATTCATTTTACCTTGTATGTGTTCATTTTAGCTTGTGTGTGTTTGTATTACCCTGTATGTGTTCATTTTACATTGTATGTGTTCATTTTACCTTGTGTGTGTTTGTACTACCCTGTATGTGTTCATTTTACATTGTATGTGTTCATTTTACCTTGTGTGTGTTTGTATTACCCTGTATGTGTTCATTTTACATTGTATGTGTTCATTTTACCCTGTGTGTTTGTATTACCCCGTGTGTGTTCATTTTACCTTGTATGTGTTCATTTTAGCTTGTGTGTTTGTATTACCCTGTATGTGTTCATTTTACCTTGTATGTGTTCATTTTACCTTGTGTGTGTTTGTATTACCCTGTATGTGTTCATTTTACCTTGTATATTTTCATATTATCCCGTATGTGTTCACTTTACCTTGTATATGTTCATTTTACCTTGTGTGTGTTTGTATTACCCTGTATGTGTTCATTTTACTTTGTATGTGTTCATTTTACCTTGTGTGTGTTTGTATTATCCTGTATGTGTTCACTTTACCTTGTATATTTTCATATTATCCTGTATGTGTTCATTTTACCCTGTGTGTTTGTATTACCCTGTATGTGTTCATTTTACCCTGTGTGTTTGTATTACCCTGTATGTGTTCATTTTACCTTGTATATGTTCATATTATCCTGTATGTGTTCACTTTACCTTGTATATTTTCATATTATCCTGTATGTGTTCATTTTACCCTGTGTGTTTGTATTACCCTGTATGTGTTCATTTTACCCTGTGTGTTTGTATTACCCTGTATTTGTTCATTTTACCCTGTGTGTTTGTATTACCCTGTATGTGTTCATTTTACCTTGTATATTTTCATATTATCCTGTATGTGTTCACTTTACCTTGTATATGTTCATATTATCCTGTATGTGTTCACTTTATCTTGTATATTTTCATATTACCCTGTATGTGTTCATTTTACTCTGTGTGTTTTCATTTTATCCTGTATGTGTTCACTTTACCTTGTATATGTTCATATTATCCTGTATGTGTTCATTTTACCTTGTATATTTTCATATTATCCTGTATGTGTTCATTTTACCCTGTGTGTTTGTATTACCCTGTATGTGTTCATTTTACCCTGTGTTTTCATATTATCCTGTATGTGTTCACTTTACCTTGTATATGTTCATATTATTGTGTGTGTAATTATCTATTCTGTGTGTTCATTTTATGTGGTGTTTGTCAGTTTGGCTTGGCCTCATAGTTTACAAAATTTTAACAAATTGACAAAACAGTAGCTCTATAGAACATAACTTTGACCTAATGACTGACATACAATTCTAATTTAAATGTTAACATTCTACAATATAACTTATATAGCATGCATAAATCACTATGAAAACCTGTGTTAGTAGTGAACATTATTTGGAAGAGTATCCAAATACCTCCTATCAGGCTCAAATCGGGACTGTTGTAAGAGTTGTTTGCTAGTCAGGGATGTTCTTAAGGCCTCTATTGAGTCTACTGACTCCTGTGTACAAGATTCATCATCAGATACCTATGTGGGAAAATATTAAATATAAACAAACTATTTTTTCTTTATATACCATATGAATCACCTAAAATAAATATTCATTTGAATTAATCAATACAAATTTTGTATCAATTCAGTCACTCTTAATATGAAATAAAATTTATTCACTTTTATCATATTAAATTAGGTCCCTCTTATTATGAACTCAAATTCATTCACTCTTATTACGAAAAAAATTTAGTCACAATTATTATGAAATCAAATTTAGTCACACTTATTATGAAATCAAATTTAGTCACACTTATTATGAAATCAAATTTAGTCCCTCTTATTATGGAATCAAATTTAGTCACACTTATTATGAAACCAAATTTAGTCACACTTATTATGAAATCAAATTTAGTCCCTCTTATTTATGGAATCAAATTTAGTCCCTCTTATTTATGAAATCAAATTTAGTCCCTCTTATTTATGAAATCAAATTTAGTCACACTTATTTTGAAATCAAATTTGGTCACACTTATTATGAAATCAAATTTAGTCCCTTTAATTATGAAATCAAATTTAGTCACACTTATTTATGAAATCAAATTTAGTCACACTTATTTATGAAATCAAATTTAGTCACACTCATTATGAAATCAAATTTAGTCCCTCTTATTATGGAATCAAATTTAGTCACACTTATAATGAAATCAAATTTAGTCACACTTGTTTATGAAATCAAATTTAGTCACACTTATTTATGAAATCAAATTTAG